AAGTTATGGCCGGTCAACCAAAATCGGTCTCACACTTTCCGGCACTGTAGGCGGATCGGTTGGCTTACTAGACTGGCAAAGGGTGGGTCGAGTTTGACAGATGTTTGAATCAAGCTCAGACTAAGAATACGTGGCTTTCTTCCACTCACAAGCTTTGCCTTGGTCGCTGCTAACAGCAGCAAGTATAGTAGCACATGTATTGTATGGGTTCGATGTTCGGTGACCGTGGAAATGGCGCATCGACGAGAAGACGATCAGTGCCGAGCAGGTTCATGCATGCGTTGGCGAAGTCGAGCTTTGCGCCCAACTGACGACGCCATGAGACCGCGACAGTTTTTTTTGTAGAATATGTAACACGTAGGTAATCAACATCACAGAAAGGTACTAACTACTCCGTGACAGGACTCACGGAAGTGTGTTCGACTCTTCATGTGTTGTGGTAATGACGCCGGTAGGGTACTGGATCTGGGGCATGGTCCATTCCTGACGTTGCGCGTTCAGTTGAACCGGCTGGAAGAGCATCACCCATTTGCTATCGTGTATGGTTTTCTTCCAAGGGATTTATTGGCAGATTTGTCAGGTATGTAACATGTAAGACGGATAGCGGTTGGAATGCGCGGTTCGCCTTTGACATGAGAGGTAGGGACTGAAGGGCATAGAGTAGACAAGCAGTGGTGGGCTTTTTGTTTTGTGAGTGGCATGATCAATTGTGCTTTTTCTCTTGGAAGCGCTATTGGGAGAGCTGCAGGTGTGCAGCAGGGGAAATTCAATTGATATTTGGAAATTTCTTATGCTTTCAACGACGTTTTGTTACTAACACCGTTTGGGATTGACTTCTCGGAGTGAAACCCATGGGTACTAATATCTTGCAGCCCTTTGATCGGTTAGAAAAAAACGTGTTGCGTGCTGCGGTTGTCTTGAGACTGACTGACGCATTTTGTCGCGCCCCCCCAAAAGTGCCCTAGCTTCCTTCGTGTGTGCTAGTTGGGTGGAACAACTCGAAGGGGGCGGGCTAATCATAGCGGAGGGGGGAGAAGGCGAATGTAATCATTCCCTTTCGTCGCTGTCGTTGCAAAGCTTGGTTGAATCCAACATCATCAAGGGGGCTCAGGTGGGAGAGACAACACGCAACCAACCACAGACGCTCAATATTCGCCTGTTTTCCCCCGAAGAGTGGCAGCGGACCATGCACGCGACTTGTTGCGGAGCTGGTCCAAGTCGTGTGGGGTCAACGAACGGCTTCTCGTGCGAACGGCTTCTCGTGCGAAGTGTCTGACAGAAAGATGTACGAGCGAGAGAACATAACTACGATCCTACCTTGTTGCGGTCGCCGCGCAGCAAAAGGCGGAACGGTGTTGGGCCGGTCGCCCAGAGGTCCACCGGGCGGGGCTGCAACGGTACTCTCGTCCCCCTCCTGTTTGTAATGTTTGTTGGTGAAAGGTGCAGGAGGCGCCATCACTCACGAACCTCTATTCTTGCTCCCCGAGATTCGTGCTTCCTATTTCCTCTGTGGACAACCAGCAGAAAATGAAAATTCACAGGTCTCTGTAAGGCCAAATACCCGTTCGAGTGAATAAAGACTTCACAGCAGTGAATGTTGAAAGGGAACCCTGCTGGTTGCAATTTCTTGCACTTTGTCGAGGGGGAAAGTTGAGCCCTCAAGTTCGTGGCCGCTAAATTCTCAAGCGGTGACGCAGACGTCGTAGTCAATTGTTTTGTCTTTCCGCAAGGAGCATTTGTTTGTGTTGCAGGCTCGGTGCCAGGTTATCCTGGCGGGGAAGACACGACTTTCGCAGTATGAGCTTGAAAACTCGCCAGCAAAGGCGTTTGGATGACGAGCAGCAAGGCTGTGCGATGGATAAGCTCCATCTCTCTCTCCGTCTTGTCCATGTAGCGAAGCGATGAGCATTCGAGATGCACTAACATCCAATCATGATGGAATCAGTATCGCCGGCGGGGTGCCGCTGAGCTCATGCCGCTGTGCGGAAAGAAGCACAGCTCCTACTTTCGCCGGCATCCTCGACTTCAACATTCAAACGGATGCTCCCTTGAGACCAAACACTACTGACACGCGACTTGGTGCACCTCATCAACAGCACGATACAAATCTCTCACCAAACACACATAACACTACCAAAACGACACGAAGGGGCAAAAACAAAATAAACACGAATGACCAAAACAAAAACAAAGTCATCCGCCTGTACATTGCTGAGCACGAGGACGACTGACGCCAACACAGCCATCTAGGCCGAAAGAGCAAAAGCCAATAAAAAATTACCCCCAAAACAAAACATAACAATGTCAAGTCTCTAAGCAGGTATCAACACAGGTCGTTTCGAGGGTGTTCCAAAACGAGGGGAAACGGGGATGTAGGCCAACCGGACTCAGGGTGTCTCTCGTGTACCTATGATCCATCGCTATGGACAATTCCCCCTGCCCATTGCCTAAGCCCCCATCACCCCACCCCCCTCATCATCTGCTGCTGCTGTTGTTGGTGTTGTTGTTGTTGTTGCTGCTGCTGTAGTTGCTGGTAACGCTGCTGTGGTTGCTGTTGCTGCTGCTGTTGCTGCTGTTGCTGTTGCTGTTGATGGTGGTAATGCTGCTGTGGTTGTTGCTGTGGCTGCTGCTGCTGCGGCGGCTGCTGCGGCTGCTGCGGCTGCTGCAGCGGTAGCGGCTGCGGCTGTTGTCCTTGCTGCTTCTGCTGCTGCTGCTGCTGCTTCTGCTTCTGCTGCTTCTGCCGCTGAAGATGGTGCTGGTAGTTGTTGTCCGGCAGCTCCGCCACGCCGTCTCGGCTAAACCCGCTGCTGCTGTTCGACGCGAGCCCGCGGCCACCGTGCTTGCGGGCGAGCCTCTGGAGGCGCCAGACCTTCTTCCGCTCCGACAACCACGTGTAAAAGTCTTCCTCCAGCCGAGGGGTGTTGAGGGACTCGCGCTCCATCTTGCTCGACTTCCAGTGCCACTTGCGCTCTTGCAGCCATCTTTATTCGCACGGAGTGTGAGCAGCGGGCAACAGAGTGTCAAACGTCACAGCGGGTTCGGGACGGTTGTGATGCCAAGGCCATCGCGTGGAGCGTAAAACAACCAACCCGGAAAACCGCTGTAACAACTTATGCATACGAAACACACATTCTTGGCTCAAGTAAGAGGTAAGGGGGCGGGGGAAACTCATAGCCCTGCATGCCGGAGTCGTTACATGTACCTCGTTAGGGGGTGTACTCATAGTCGTGCATGTCGTATTCATTAGACAATTGACCTCGTTAGGGGGGGGTGTACTCATAGTCATGCATGCCGTGGTCGTTAGACCATTGACCTCGCATCCCTACAAAGCCGGGACGGAGCACGCCGGGTTCTCACCGGACCANGGTGCGCTGCATCCTGCTGAGGGTGTTCGGCATCTTGTGCTTACTTCCTTGCGTACGGATGACAGCTGCGTATGACTTGATATATTTTCTGGTGCTTTTACTTCCTGAGACAGTTGCACGCACTGTGCAATTGCCTCGAGGGTGCTTGACCATTCTAACACAACGTGGTGCGATCATCCCTCTTTCGCGGAGTGAGGGTTCGCGACCCCGCACAACATGATCTACTCGGCCACCATTATGGTTACCGCCAAAAAACAACCAGAGGTGAAAAAAACGGTAACCTGGTTGCCGAGTTCACGAAGTGAATTGGCTTGTTTTACAACGTCGTTGCCAAGCGACGAAAACCCAATCTCGATGGTAAACACCGGGGGGGAGACCTCGTCAGGGGGGAAGGGGGGGATGTACTCATAGTCGTGCA